ATATATATATATATATATATATTATTATTATTATTATTATGTATATTATATATATACATAATATATATAAAAAAACATAATACATATATATATATGTATATATATAATATATATATAATATATATATATATATATATATATAGGATCATATGAGACCACCCCCCTTATGTGAGAACCCTATTATATGTGAGGACATATTACAACCGTTGGATCAATTACATCCAACGGTCCTGATACAACCCGGTAAAACAAAACAAATTTATTTCTTGCATTTTTTCTCTCCCCTCCTTCTTTTCCGCTCAATTTTCTCTCTCCTCATTCAAGTTCTACAGTTTTCTACTCTGTTTCTCTCTGATTTTTCATCACAAGTTCTTCAATCTTCATCAATTCTTCGTTAATGTGAGTTTATTGTTTTACATTTGCTATTTTTCAATTAATTTTTGGTTACATTCATTGTTTATTTTCGTTTTGATTTTCGTTTCATTTGTTTTTATTATCGTTTTTTTTGTTGATTTTAGTTTTATTTTCGTTTTCTTGAGTAATTATCAAGTTAATTTTAGTTTTATTTTGGCTGAATTTAGGTTTTACTAAGTGTTCTTGATTTGGTTTTGTATTTGCGAAATTATGTTGTGGTTTTGGTGTGATTTTTGCTTGATTTTGTTGCGATTATGTTGTTTATTTTCGTTTCGCTTTTCGTTTAATTTGTTCTAATTTTAGCTCATTAATTTTAGGTTACTTTGTGTCGATTATGTTTTAGTTTGTTTTTTTGTTGATTTTAGTTTTTATTTTCGTTTTTTTGAGTAATTATCAAGTTATTTTTAGTTTTATTTTGCCTGAATTTAGGTTTTTACAAGTGTGCCTTTGGTTGTGTATTTGAGAAATTATGTTGTGGTTTTGTTGCAATTTTTGCTCGATTTAGTTGCGAATATGTTGCGTTTTTGTTGCTATTTTATTGTGATTATGTTGTGGTTCTTTGTAATACATTGTTTTAGCAGCTTGAGTGCTCGACCTAACTGTCATCTTCTTGGTTAGTTAGAACTATGAACTGTGTGTTTGAGTCACTAGTGAGCAGTTTTATGCTAGTAACCTATTCTCACAAAGGTCGAGCTTCTTTGTAAACTACAGCAGTTCAACAAAGTCATGTTCACAGTGTATTATTCTTGAAATTGTGTTGATTATTTGAATCCTTGGTGCTTCTTCAACTAGCCTTGCAATTGCCATGTTCATAGTGTAATAAGACATTATCTGAAAATAATACTAATGCAACATAAATCTGATTAAAACCTCCTCATTAACATGTGTAGGTGTTTGTGTTTTTCCATAAGCGTAGGTGGCTTGGTAGGATTATGCTGATGGACATGTTACCTGATGCAACATTGTAGATTAAGTTAATGTTATACTTGACTTTTCTTTTCCTTCCATGCAAACCAAATATAGATTCTACCTTGTGTTGGATTTTATAAATGTAGGACCGCTATTATGTCCATATTTTTCTGGCTGCTAGTTTGAGAAAACAGGGACTGCTATCATGTCCTAGAATCTTGTAATATACACTATTTTCTCGCATTTAGGATCCTTTGCTTCTTGTTAGAAATGAGGTGAACCCCCTTTCCCCCTCTTTATTTCTCTTAAAAATTTGCTTCTTAATTTGATTTATCCTTTGTTTTAGTTATCTTACATTTTTTTCGGATTTTTTGTAACAATGCTATGGATTCTTCAGTTGCTACTGATCCTAACAATGCTAAAGATTATACGGATGTACCTTTGGAAAGGACAATGTACGTGTTTTCTTATTTACTCATTTTATGTTTTCTTATTAAATTCTTGTTGATTTAATGAATTATTACATAAATGTTTGCTCATTTGATAAATGAGTAATCAACTATTTGCTCGTTTTGTAAATGAGCAAAAAACTGATTGCTCATTTGACAAATGAGCATCTATGTTTTTGCTCATTTGTATAAAATTACCAACTAATTATTTACGTTTTTTTTTGTTTTGTTTGAGCAGGAACTCTATTGAAAAGGAGGTTGGTGCCGATGTTGGTTCATCAGGTGCTACTGTTGATGTTGGTTCAGCAAGGCCTGCTGCTGATGTTTGTTCAACAGGGCCTACTGCTGATGTTGGTTCAGCAGGGCCTGCTGCTGATGTTAGTTCATCAGAGGTTGTAGTGGTAGAAGAGAAGCTCATTGAAAAGAAGGAGAAGAGAAACAAATTAGTTGGTACTAAGGGTAAAGGGAAAAAGGTTGAAAAAGGATTGAAAGAAAAACAGAAGATTAAGCTGGAGGAGACAAAATCCAGCAACGAAGGGGAAAATTTGAAGTCTCATGTTTATGGGACATTACATAGTCAGATGTCCCCTTCATCCATAGTTCAAGTTATTGAAAATTGTTCAGAAAATCAGTTGAAAGCTATTAGGGCAATAAGATTCGGGTTTATGGAGTTCTTGAAGGTGACCCAACTGCCTTTGCAATTGGGTTTATGGTTGGTTCATTACTTTGATGCTAACACATGCTCTTTAAACATTCCAGATTATGAACCTTTTTGTATCACTGAAGAGCATGTGCATCAAGTACTTGGGCTGCCAATGGGTGGCATAGAAATTGACAAAAAATAATTTTTCCAGAGATAAGAGAGTGATTCAGCAATGGAAGAAGCAATTCAAAAGCAACTCACTCTCTATCAAAATAGGGGAGCTGAAAGAGTTTCTGAAAGAGCATAACTCAGCTGGTCTTATGTTCAAAAGGAACTTTGTAGTGCTATGCATGTCTACATTGATGGATGGTAAACTTCTTATTTTTATTTTGCTTATTTTTATTTATAGTTAGCACTTAGCAGTTGTGTGCTATATATAGCAATTATATTGCCTAAGTTGTTGGTCAAATATGTATAGAATCAGTTACTGCAGCAACAACAAGAATCATTTACTGCACCAACAAGAAACTAATCCAATCTAGAGTGAATGCTACTTGAAACTATACATCATCAGATAGAGATTGTTGACACTTTCAGAATAAGTAGAAATACTCCCCTGTTTAAGATCTATATATATGTATTTATCTATTGGGCTATCTAAGTAGTTTGTATAATTTAATGGACTATTGTTGTTAGTCAATGATGAGATGGGTGAACAAATCTAGAATAGGATTTGGTACATACTCCATATTAACATTGTCAGAAAATTTCAAGTCATATTAAAAACTAATTATATCATCAGGAAAAGGTGGAGAGTCAACATCATGGTTTTAAATTTTATAGCAATTTGCTCATTTTCAATTTTGTTTGCTTACTTATATTATATTTTGTTCATTTAAATTTCCTTTTGCTCAGTTTTCTTTTGTTTTGCTCATTTTTTTGTCAGGGAAACAAAATGTGAATATCAATTCTGATATTCTCACATTTCTTTCTGATGTTGATAAAATAAAGGACTTGAATTAGTGCAAGTATATCGTTGATTCACTTGTGAAGGCCAAGCTTTTCTGGGAAGAACGTCAAACTCGTTCTTTTCCTGGGTCTTTACTGTTTCTTATGGTATTACTTTAATTTTTGTTTTTTTTAATGTAATATTTCTTACTTATTTGTTGCTTTTTAATTTACTAATTATTTTTTCTTACTTGTTTGTAGTTATGTATTAATTGTTATTTGTTTTATTTTAATGTACTAATTTTTTCTATCTTACTTGTTTGTAGCTTTTATATGTTGATCAGTTTGTCATTGAGGAAGTTAGAGCCAAACGAGAAACTCCTGTTCTCAAAGGTTGGACAACCAATATGTTGTCAAGTCGTGATAAATTGGAAATTTTTAAAGGGAGGCTTGGACTTTTTGATAAAAATCAGAAGCTTGTTGGTCCTTCTGGCAGCATACAACCAAAAATGGTATTTCACTTGTAACCAATACTTAGTTTTCTATGTATTTGGCATTGCTTGTAGAGTTGAATTGGAACAAATCTTGCCTTTAGGAAAATGATGCAATGTGGTGCTCTTTATAGCACATTAATGGACCTCCTAAATCAGCAAAAAAATATTTGCTCATTTGATACTGTGTGTGATTTGGATGAATTTTACTGTGTGATTTGGATGAATTTTGTGTTTCTTGATTTTACTGTGTGTGATTTGGATGAATTTTGTGTTTTTCTTCTTAACTTGTTCGACAACCTTTCAGTTTCTTAGTATTAAATAGTTGATAAACTTGATACTCTTCTTGAATTATTTTTTTGCTCATTTGTTAAATAAAGTTCAATTTACTCAATTTTATATGACTTTGCTTATTTCATATCCACTTTGCTTATTTGTCAAATGAGCAAATAATTAGGATATTTGCTTTCAACTTGTTCTAACTTTTTTTTTTTTTTTGTAGGAACAATCTGATCCAATTCATACAAAAAATGAAGAAATTGAACAAGATCCAAATAAGGTATTTATATGACTTTTTTGGAAACTTATATTAATTTGCTCATTTTTATATGACTTTGCTCATTTCATATTTACTCTTTTCATTTATATTCATCTTATTATGTATTTTTTTTTTAACAGAAATGCCTTATGGAGCTTGCAACAACATCTACAAATCTAGTCTTGGCATACATGGATTTCAGTCAAAAACATGAAACTGCTGTCAAGTATTTTCCAAACAATGAGAAGATTCAAAAGCTGAAGGAAGATGCAATGACCATTTGTGATGAGCAGTAGATGAGCTCTAAAGCTTTGACTGAAGATATTCCTCTCTCATTTAGCCAAGATGAATAGTATTGGCAAGATCCAGCTATAATTGAAGCTTGGGATAGGTTTTCAAAGATTTCAAGCAATGACAAGCATGCTAAATCTACAATCAATGCTAGGGTTGATCATCTGATTGAATCAGAACCAATTGATGTTACTAAGATTGCTGCTGAATGTGTTCATATAGCAAGTGGTATACCTGATGTTGAAGCTCCATCCGTTATCATACAGCCTAGGCCTGCTGAACATGTGTTTAAAAAACTTGGAGAGTCAAGTATGAGATATAGTTTAAGAAGTTCAATTGCCAAAGGATGTGGAACTCCTTCATTCAGCTTAGGAATCTCTTCTCAAGAAACTGATTCTCAGGAGAAGTCCCCTAGCATTGCACCTACTGATGAACCTGTAGTTGCTCCGGTCAGTGCACAAGTTGGTGCTTCTAAATCAGATGTTGCTGCTGTTGTTGATGCTCTGAATGCTCTAGAAGATCCAATTGCGCTTAAGAGAAAAGGAGATGCTGAAAATGAGAGTTGTATTCGAAAGAAGCGTAAAGTGCAACCATCGTTGCAGATAAGATCTCCTTCTAAGTCTCGGATTATCAACATATATACACCATTAACAGCAGTTCAAAAAAGTGTTATGGATTCATTTTTTCATGAGAAGAAAAATCGTTTGTAAGTATTTATTCAATTTTTCAGTTCTGGAAATTGGCAACTGACCTTATTTTTATTTCTTAAAACAAGTCTAGCTCTATATTCTCACTTTACATATCTACGATTGAAATTATTTTAACTTCCCTAAATCTTATACGTGATGCAGGGTTTTTATGCGAGGGTGAGCCTGATAGTGAAGTAATGCTATTTCAACTTGAAATGCTAAAAACTCATGGAAAAATTCATGGCGATATCATTAATGCATGGTTACTGTTCTGAATTATAATAAGCAATATAGAGATATCAATTCTAGTGGACGTTTCTTTTTCGGTCTTAATGCAATTGTAAGTTCAACTCGTTCATTTTTTTTGTTTTATTTTGTTCATGTTCACTTTTCTCATTTCATATAAATTTTTATATTTGAATGTAGATGTTTTTTTGTATTTGCAAAAACTATTATTAGTTCTTTGCTCATTTGTCAAATGAGCAAACTATTCAATGCTCATTTGTCAAATATTCTTGCTCATTTGACAAATGAGCAAAAAATAAATATTAAACTAATTTAAGTCTCTTATTGGATACTAAATAACATAAAATCTTTTGATAAAGTATTTGAAATACAGAACTAATTTAAGAAATTTTCATATTATAGTTATCTTCAAGGCATAATCATGTCATGGTTGTTTGTTTGCACTTTGTAGTGTATTGTCTTGCGTTTGCTCATTTGTCAAATGAGCAATTAATTTTTGCTCATTTGTCAAATAAGCAATTAATTTTTTCTCATTTGTCAAATGAGCAATTAATTTTTTTCTCATTTACCAAATGAGCAGTTAATTTTTTTCTTATTTGTCAAATGAGCAAAACATCAACTGCTCATTTGTCAAAAAAATTTCAATTTACTTATTTTATATGACTTTTCTCATTTCATATCCACTTTTCTCATTTGTTATTTACTCTTTTCATTTATATTCATCTTATTTATGTATTTTTCTTTATGTATTTTTTTAGGATTGCCTTTTTCAATACGAAAGTGATCGTGCTCAAGAAAGGAATAAAATGTTTTGTGAGGTTGTGGAGTTGGAATTCAGCAAAACAATCATCCCAAAGAAAGATATTGAGCTTTTCTTTTTCCCAGTATTTGAAAAAGATCATTATTATCTGGTATGTTTTAACACCACCACAGACCGTGGTACAATTGAGGTTATTGATTACAGTGAAGGTGCTAGAGAAAATAAGAAATTGCTTAAAAATCTGGTATGTCTTCTGGCACTTCTTCATCATCATAAATCACTTCATCATCAATATCCCCATTGATTCCTGTCATGTTGTTACCAGATTCCTTATTCATGTCTCCTCTCATTAGATCCCTGAATGAAATTCCATGTCCTTACGGAGCCAGTGACGGCGGCACCCTAACCCTTTCAGGATTCTCCTCTGAATTTCTCCTTTCTCCCATAACAAGAAAATACACACACACACACTCACACACACGCATACACACACACACACATACACATGCACACACACACATACACACACGCACACACACACACACACATACACACACATACACACACGCACACACACACACACATACACACACACACACACAAGCACACATACACATACACATACACATACACATACACATACACATACACATACATACACACACTCACAACCTATAATAGAATCTGTAATCAGATTCTGAAGATAGTTTCTGAAATCAGAATTGTGTAATGTGTGGATAGGTTTGTGTGGGTAGGTGGCAGTAATGGCTCAAGATTTTGTCAGATTATTTTAGCAAAATGATTAGAGTTTAGTTGTTTATCTTGTTCTGCTTGTTTTGACTATATTTGTTCTACCTATTTTTGTTCTTATTTTAACTTATTTGTTCATTTTCAGAAAAGTGCATTTTCATATTTCATGGATGGTGAAGGAAGTATACAAAGTGTTGTTTTGTCAAAATAGATCAAGTCTAAGGAGTCTGTACTGATTGATTTACCCTGGAAGTCTTCAGATGATGATCATTTGCATTGTGGTGTTGCAATGATGAGGCATATGGAAACATATATGGGTTTGCAAAAGTGGAATTCGGGTTTAAAGAAAAATAATGTAAGTCTTTCACATTTCATGCTTGTTGTTACAACTTACAAGCTATGTTCCTCTCATATGAGTATTAAATGTGTTGGAGAGCAGTTAATTGCTGCAAATCCTGTTGGTAGGCACCTGTTTTATGTGCATTCTTTACTGAGCTTTGAGTACTCTACTCTCTTCAAATTGTTGTATATTTGTAAACGAACACACTCAATCAGTGATAGCTTGTTGTCATAATAATTGCAAAACAATCTTAGGTAAGATAGAAATTAGGGTTTAGAAACTAATCAGAAGTTAGTGGATATGAGTTTTCTTTGATATCTCTCTCTTTAGTTATTAAATCTTATGAAGCTAATATTGAATATTTTGAAAGAAGACTAAATATCTGAATCTTAATGTTTTATCTCGAATGAGATACACCATAAGTCATCACCAGAAGATTAAGGAACGAAGTGAAGAAGATTATAGAGGATAGTGGCAGATCAGGGAGGACGGTAGAGTAGGTAGTAGAACCTGACTTGTCTAACCAGAAAAAGTCTAATTGTTGAGTTTATAATTTGCTTCTTCTGGAATGGGACATCTGCACTTTTTATCCATTTTTTATTTTAATTGCAATTTAGGTTAAAATTTGTGAGCAACTTGTTGATTTTCATTCATGAAGCCATTACTTACCCTATACTTACCCTGAATTATTGCTTCATTTTTTCTTGTGATGCTGAAGAAAGCTAGGGGCAAGCAATGCAAGAGCATTCAACGGAGAGAATTGAAGACTGAAGTTGATCAATTGTTATGATGTTTTTAGGATTTGTATAGGATTTGTATAGAACAATAGAAGTGTTAGTTTTATGATGTTCTTAATTGGACAAATGTGACAAATGTTCTTAGTTGATTAAATGTTTTTATGATGTTGTTGGGATTTTCTAAGTATAACTTTTGCTATGTCAATGTAATGGATATCATTTTCCATCTTATTAACTAAGTTGTTGGTCATTTGTTAAATTGCTAATTAACTATTTGCTCATTTGACAAATGAGCAACTAACTATTTGCTCATTTTTTAAATAAGCAAAAAATTAATTGTTCATTTGCCAAACAGAGTTAGTATATAATTGTTCATTTGCCAAATGACCAAATAAATATTTGCTCATTTGACAAATGAGCAACTAACTATTTGCTCATTTGCTAAATGAGCAAAGAAATGTTTCCTTATTTTTCAAATGAGTAACTAATTATTTGCTCATTTGAAAAATGAGCAAACTAATGCTTACTCATTTCACAAATGAGCAAAGAAATGGTTGTTGATTTAATGTATGATTAAAGAAAAGTTTGCTCATTTGACAAATGAGTAATTAACTATTTGCTCATTTCAACAAAATTAAAAACACAAAATGCTAAATCTTATATTTACATAAAAATATTAAATTTTATATTTGTATAAAAGTATCATTACACTTTGTTTAGACAATTTCTAATATCATGATGACTCAATTCACCACAACCTCTACATAATCTCTTCTTTTTCTGGTTTTGTTCTACAACCTTTTCTTTTTCTCCCTTCAGCTTTTTTGCACTTCTACCTCTTGTTTCAACATTCGGCACATCAATCTCAGCCCCTTTCTCTTTTGAAGTCTCTTCATTTGATACATGAACTCCAGTCCCTTTATTCTTTGAAATATTTGGAGGTTTGACAATTATTTCAGTTGGCACACTAGCTCCAATCAATAGTTCAATGTCTTGTCCTTTGTTGTTTGCACTTCCAGCTGTTGTTTCATTATTCCTTGCAATCCTCTTAGCCTCCAAATCCTTTCTTATTCCTTGAAGATTTATCACAAGGTCTTGAATATCTTCATCATTGCCTTCTGCCAAACTTACACAAGTGTGTATCTCTGACCATAAATCATTTAACAATTTTTTTTCTTGTCAATTAAATTAGCACATTGCTCCA